CGCCCCATTCGGTGGCCATTTTCTTCGTTTCCGGCTGCTTCTGCAGTTATTGCTGAGTTTTAGGTGCTTCTCGTTTTGTTTTCGTGTCCTTGTCTTATGGAAATTTCAACAAAGTTTGAAGCTGCAACAAATTCGCATCTTTCTGCAGACATTTTCTTTTTTTTCCGTTCCACTTTTGTGTTTTATTTATATTGCTCAAAGAAATTATAAATAAAGGTGTCTGAAAGTTTACAGTAAAAAATATTCAAAAATTCTTGCATTCTTTTGGGCACTTGTAAAGTAGTTTTATACCTTTAAAAAAAATAAATATCCTTCCTAAAATGGATTCTTACTCAAATTTGCACACTTTTTGCCACCATAAGGTAGCCAAACAAGCCAATATACTAGAGTATCCTCAGAATAAATGTGCAAGTTCCGATTTCACGTGAAGAACAAATGGGGGAAAAAACGGAACTATGCAATACTGCTATGCATTGTTCTCTGTGCTCTCGGCATAAGTTTCCTCCTCCAGTGTTTTTCGAACTTTTGCAGGAAGGAGAAATGCCGAAGCGAAGGATTTTATGAAAATAGCTGAAATAATTTTCCATTAAATTCTTGCGCATGAAATTATCGCATTAAAATGAAACAAAAGCCGCTTTTTTCGCACTCGAGTGGAACCCCTCTTCGGAACCCCCACCCCCTCGTTACACTACGTCCATTGTTTGCTTAAATTTTGTACAGTTCCTCGACGTCATCATCATCATCATCGTCGTGCTCTTGCCTCTTTCTCTGTAGAACTCTTCTGCTATTTGCCTGGTGTTTTACTGTTTGCATTCATCTTCATTATTTGTTTGCTCTGCGCCCCAAGTGGGCGTGGCAGTTCTCAGTACCCCGAGAAGTGAGAAGCGCAGAGAAAGGCGGTGGCGGAGAAGAAAGTTGGCTCTACCGTTGAGCACTTGGCAGCGAAACTTTTTGACACAGTTGATTTGCATTTGAAATCCTTGGTCGGGAAACGAAACGAAAACCCCCCCCAGTCAACCAGACCAACCAGCCCAAACTCCCCAACAATCCCAACTCAACTCCGCCGAGAGGGCTGCCCCACAATGATTTATGGATTTTCATCATATTCTGTTGATTCAGGGAATATTTATGATTTGCCAGTACTCCATTTTCTCGTCGTCCTTGGGAAATCTCCGCTCTCGCTTCTCTCGCATCGTATTCATATTTTTCGGGTAGCGTTTTTTGTTATAAATTTTTTGAAAAAAAAGAAAATTTGTACTTGCTGCGGCAATAGAACAACAAGGACAACAAATGAAAACAAAAATAAAAACAGAGCCAGAGAGACGGAAGGCGAAAGAGAAACAAAAGGACAACGGAAAAATGCTGAATATGCGCAAATTGAATTTGATTTTTAAGCACTGATTGCTTTTATTGTTCTGGTCGGTGGGGTCCGGTGCAGAGGAACCGTTTCGGACTACGGCGGAATTTAAATAAAATATTCTAAAAAAGATAACCGGCGAGAGTGAGAAGGGGAAAATGGAACCGGGGATGACCAGTAGCAAATTTCATGTGATATCAAATTAGAGACTTGAACTATTCAAGTAAGTCTGGGAAGAAAAGTGAAGAAAGAGGTTGCTTTACATTTTATAAAACTGAACTAGGACTTTGAAATCATTTAAAAGGGCGTCTACAAGTATGCACTAATTAACAAAAAACTTGCCTACTTTAAGACACCTTTAAAATTTACATTATTTTGTTGCCTACTTTTAGACACCTTCAAAGAACCGCTAGTTATTTCTCAATTATATAACAACTAAATTAAATTTTCTTATTTTTATTTAGTCATCAAAAACTAAATATCACTATCAATGGTTGGCACTTCCTGACATTTCCAGGGTATCAAAAAAAAGAGGGAGGACAATAAAGGGCCCGTGACAGCACATCTATATTAATTTATTGATATTAAGCTTTTGTGTTGGCGAGAATTTGCATTTTTTGCAGCGGAAACTGGGAATAGTTTTTTGCCCGCGTAACGCAATGAAATTGAAATAACCGAATTGCAGCAACAATTAGCTGAACATTTCTGGGAGAAGGCGGGTTGAGGGGCTCAAATTGATTTTCCAGCCCCCTTCCACGAAAAGCTGCTGCCCACAGACGAAATTGCATTTTCATCGCGCCCGCAAAAAACACATTAGCACCGGAATGTGCGCAAATAAATACTTAATAACCCGCCGAATAAAAACCCCCTTGCACAAATGCAAGTCAGGGCAGGCAGGCACATTAGCATGAGAATAAAACGAAATTACAGTCTTTAAAATAAATGTATGCGGAATTCGCCAGCCCAGAAATGCCAGAAAGTATTCAACTAAATGCGAAATAAATTTGCCAGAAGACAAAGCCATGGGTGGGGATTTTCCAAGGGGGTTAGGGTGGGGTGGCAATGTCAATTCCCTGGGCGTTTGGAATGTGCCGCCGCCGCCGACGCCGCCGCCAGGAGACGCAGAAAATCAATTTCGGCTACAAGTTTTCAATAAAGTGAAAATAATGTCGCCGCTCCGCCATTATCCTGCGGAGATAAGAGTCCCTTTGGTTCCCTGTTCCCTGGTTCCTTTTCCCCAAAAATATCGAAGATATGCTGCCTGCGAAAATCAACGCCGAGTGTCAAACAATGAGGGTCGTTAGAGGCAGCAAATCGAAGCCCGGCGAATCGGGAAGGAGACTCCCGAAGTCAAGTGCACAAAGCGTCAAATGAAAAGGAAACTAGGGGGGTGGGAATACCCCCAGTTTGGGGACCCGGGATAAGTCTAGTGATGCGTAAAGCAACGCACTGTCAAAAAATACAGCCAGAGGGGAGGAGGGGAGGAGGAGAACCTGGAGGAACCGGAGGAAAGTATCAGCAAATCCGACTCCGTCTCCGATGGCTGCTGGTGTTTATTTATGTGCCTTGTGCCTTGTGATAAATCACTGACATTGATGCCCGCAGACAGAGGAGGAGAAAAAGGTTTTCCCACCGCCTCGATTCGCATCCTTAACCCATTTGGACTCACACCTAGTTGCCCGGTTCGGTAAAATCCAATTGGAGGTATATATTTAACGCTTTGGGCTGGCTTTAAAGAAAGTTAAATTAGATGCCTTCAAAAATATTTAAAGGGTTTAATCTATGTGCTATAAAATGGTAATCCGAATCGATAATCTATTTGGAAAAAATCAATCAAATTACATCTCTCTGAATAAGAGCTAATTTATATATTTTTATTTATTCTCAAGTTCTCGGCCAAATTAAAATTATTTCTAGCATTAACTTTAATGCTTTAAGTTTATTTACATTAAACAAAAGTAAGCAGAAAGAAAAATAACCCGATATTTTCCTAAGCCCAAGTGATATTAGGTAAACAAATCATCTGTGTCAAAATGGGTTAACCACCCCCTCAATTTCAGAAGCCAAATTTAAAAGACTCGAAAGAGGCAGGGCCTAACAAGTGAAGCCCCCTGAATTTACCACCCCCAGAAAAACCTGCCTTTAAAGGGTGTATAATAAGTTTATCAGAAGTCAAACAGGCAGGAGGCAGGAGAACGTTACTAGGAGTGTCCTTGTGGTCCTCGAATGGCGCCGCCCCGCAGGAAATAAAGCGGCGCTCAATCACGGCGCACGCCGGAAATCGGAAGTTAGCAGGCTCACGATATCGGAGCACAACAGCTGAACGGAAAAAAAATAAATATGAAATGAGAGGAGAGGAACTCAAGTGAAACCCCGAAACTGAGACACCGAATCTGGGAAAGTCGACCGCAAAAGTTGGAAACTGTTTGGCAGCGCCAGATAAAATGTTGTTGATTGCGACGCAGTTGAGCGTTAATAATTATTATTTTTGTGCCTTAGAAACGTTCGCTTTTCATCCTCCTGCAACGTGGAACGTGATTTTTGATGGCCAACAATTTGTGGCAGATTTATTTGTGCATTAACCTCGAATTTGCACCCATTTCTCTGGATTTCTCCACTAGCAGTGATTATCGACGGATGGCTTCTGTGTTCTTGTGGGTGTCAATAAATCCAGGGGCTGCGACTGGAATTCCAAGAACAGGACCAGCTGTTTGTCCCAAAGTTTCTGGGCCAGCCAGCCGAACTTATTGATGCTGGTCATGTACTTTCTGGCCAAGGGAAAATTCCGGGGGCTGGGATTCAGGATTTCAACCAACAGCTGTGCCACCATTGATTTTTCGCCTGACCCACACTTTTATGGCTTTTCATTTATGAAATTTTTGACAGCCACTTTCTCCCTCGCCCCCCGAAAAAAACCCATTCCTAATTATAACATTCAGTACTCCAAAATCGATAGCAATAAAAGGGCCCCAAACGGAAAACTGGGATAAAGATTTTCGGTAAAAGCCAAAAATTGACCTTTCTGCGTACTCGCTTTTAATGCCATGGTTAAGGGTACACTTTAGAAAAAAATCAAAGAAACTGAAATCAATAAAGGAATTAATAAATTTTAAAGAGCGAAATTTTGATGGATCGGTAACCATTTTTCACCATATTAAAAAAAAAGAAATTGTTATTGTAAATTAAATATAAAACCTTTAAATCTTCTACTTTTTTTATCAGTTTACTTAGAATTTTTTATATACTTTTTTTAGAAATATGAATATTTTAAAAAGAGAATTTTTAAGAAATAATTTGATTTAAAAATGTAAATAGGATAATCTCAAGGATCTAAACCGTTTATAATTTTTCCGAGTGCCGGGGGCTTCTACTTTCTAAAATTATAAATAGCCCCGCAGCAAAAATAACTTTGCCAACTGAGACTTTTATTATGCTCGGCATTCTTTTGTGTTTTGTGAGTGAGTGTGTGTGCCAATTTATTGAAAAACTTGCGCTAAATTTAACAAGAGAGCTCGCAGGGAGGGAAGTTTATAACAAGTTTGAAATTAATTTGATTTCTCACAGAGACCAAAACCGAACTGAGCCGAAGCGAAAACCAAATAACAAATAACAAGATAGGGGCAGTGTGCAACAACTAACTCACTTTGATTTATGCAGCCGGAGTCGCAAGATCCCCAGCCAGGAACAGGAATCGCCCCCCAGCCAGGGTTCCATCGACGGCATCTCTCCAGGATCCAAGGAGGCGAAGGACCAAACAGGACTTATCGAGGTTATGGTCTCCTTATGAATTGCCGGTCTTGAGTGAGCTCACTTAGCCTGAATATTGTATGTTGTTCAGTGCATGCTGCAGATTTCGTCGCATTTTATGTGATTTTATTTCAGACATTTGTGTGTTTTGTGGCTTTTATTTTATTTCGGTTCTATTTGCCTTCTCCTTGGGAGCAAAAGTGCCGGCTGCAAGTGGAAAAAAATCAATAATCCAGTTAGTCAACATATATCTTTAATTGTGCTGCAAAAACATGTGTATAATAAATGGGGGAAAATATATTTTAGAGCGTTGACAGGCCAGCGATTTTGGGCCAATTACAAACTGGTGTCCTGGTGTCATGGCAAATAATTCCCATTTTGTTTTTCCCCTAATTAATTTCCGTTGTTGCTGTAGCCGCCGCGGCGACTAAAACGTGATTATTTGATCTACATTCGTCGATAATTACGGATTATTGAAAGTTTTGTTTGAATTAATATTGAAATAATTTCCTGAGCCGGGGTCGCGTTGCCATAAATAATTACCGAAAAATGTAAGGGGTTGGGGTGGAAAATAATCAACATAAAAATAAACGGCCTCATTGGTTTCCATTTGTTTGGCCCCCGGTGGTTTATCGGCCCCATCTGTCTAACATATAGAGAGTATTGGATTGGTTTTCGGTTTCGGATATTGGAACCACCTACATACGTTCGCGTTTTCAGTGTGATTGTTGGGCTAGAAATTAGGTTAATTAGTGGTCAGTTGTTGTGTAACTGCCGTGTCCTTTGATTGCTGTCGTTTTGTTATTATTTTTCCTCTGTGGTTCGGGTAAATACACAGATAAGGTGGTTTTTTGTAATGGGTTCTGGGTTCTACATACGTATGATATCTGTACGTGTCTGAAATGGGATTCCCCATTGTCCCATCTTGCGTAACTCCTTTCTCTCTTTCTCTTTACAAATGCACAATTGCGGCATATCTTTGCCCATTCCAGGTCCTTTTTGAATCACCCGTTGTTTGTGTGTCTGGCAGTAATGAACTTTTATGCATTGTCATTAACTTTTATTGTATATATCTGCCATTCATCCTGCCGCACACACACACAGACAGATATATATACACCTTTGTGCTTGTGTTTTTGCTGGGCATTATAATAAATTTAAATCATTTGTTGCATTTATTTTAATTATGCGCAATTTAAAATGCATTATGCCTGCAACTTTCAGGGGGCTTTAAAGTGGCAGGGCGCTTAGGGCAGGCGTAATTTAATTTTCGTTGACAGAAATTCAATTATTTGCGTTTTCCCCAGCCGCGAGTCGCGAGTCTAAAACACACGAAAAATGTTTTGTCACAAAAATGCCTCACGCATATGCAAAAGCCGGGCGCATGCTGCGTATACGTGCTTTCATTAAATTTTTATTTATTCCTCACCCCACTCATATTTCCATTTCCCCCAGTAAATATCCCCCCATATATATATATATATATGTCTGGCCGACGTCGACAAATTCTTCTGGTGTAATTTCATTACTTCAATGTTTTACTTTGCTGAATTATAAATGAGCCCTTCAGTTTTGTGTGACGCAGCGTCGGCGGCGTAGCCTCCCATGTTTTACAGCTAGTCATGTGTAAACAAAGCCCAGATGTTCGGTTGTAAAATTTCGACGGGGGTTTGCCATGACTTTCCAAGGGGCGTTGGTGTCAAAGTTCGCCCTCTTCTTCCTCGGGACAAACGGTTCCAATGAGCCGTTGACCCACCCACCTCCCTGTCATTCCATTAATATTTGATAATGTGTGGCTGTCAGTTAGCCGTCCAATTGAGTGATTTCCATGCTTTCGCCCACCTGGGCTGCTATTCTATTACCGCTTTCGTTTCGTTTCGTTTTCCTCTTGTAATTTCTCAACAGCTGCACTTTTTCCCACAATGCAACTGAAGTGCCAGTGGGAGTTGGGAGTACTGTATCCCTATATCTAAACCTCCTCTTTTATTCCTTTTTTTTCGTCTGGCCATGTGACAGTTTGACATCTGTTATTGTTTGGTTGCTGGTTGACATTTCGACAAAACGCTGAGCAGGCAGCCCTCCAATGAAATTGAATATTATTAGCTCATTTCACTATAATTGCTCTGCGAGTCGCTCTCTCTCTCTGGCTGTAAGTACGGCTCCAAATTACACATATCACACATACGCCGCGTGTGCCACACAATCCATGGGTCCAATCTATTTGCGGGGGCGGTGCCACCACTCGAATCGCTATCTGCCAACCCATCGAAGTCATTAGATCCACTTAAGTGTGGCAACGCATATGGTAAAATTGGGCTAGGGACTTGAAAGTCAGTAATGAAAATGCAAACAATTAAATTAACATATTGAGAGTTTCTTGACTGAATAGGGCTTTTATAGGAATTGGTTCTTCTTCTTTTTTTATAAAAATAAAACACAAATAAAAGCAAGGTACATTTTAATAGAAGATTTAAATAAATAAATATAGATTATTTTGACGACTTTTAGAATTTGTATATTAGTTTTATTATTTTTCTTCAAAAGAATCCATTACGTGTATCTTAACAGAGTTGAAACAATGGACACCATTTTTAGCAAAATCAGTTTATAACATTTGGCGCCCAACGTGGGGCCTAGTCTTCGGTTCGATTCTCCCCGGCGCCGCTTTTAATTTCACTATTCATTTCCTCTAAAAAAAATAAAGACTATTTGTTCCGACAAATACGTGTAGACATAAAAATTTAAAATCAAAAACCGACATTCGATACTAAGGGATAAATTCTTTTGTTTTTGTGGTTCCAAAGAAATACACAGGGTATTATTATCTACATGTGACACCCAGTCTGAGATTTAATTTTCAAGCCTGTCAAGCGGAATGCCTGGTCTTCATCTTTGCGTCATGTTACGTACTTCCATATAACGTCTCGAAAATCGAGGGCGGGCTAACGACGCATATACGCAATCTGGGAAAAGGCTGCCAGCAGCTGCACACTGATTAGACAAAGTTGGCCCAGCAAATTAAGGGGCAGCAGCACACAGACAATCACAGAGTGCAAACTGCAGCTGCTGGCCAAGAAGACTGCCACAATGGCCAGGAGTCGTCGGCAAAGTTTCCAGGAGCAAACAAAGAAGGGAAAGGACCTTCTCCTCCTCCTTGTCCTCGTCCTCGGCATCAAGGACTTCAATTTTGCGGCGGCTGGGCAAACTTTGCGACAAACAGCAACAAATGCTGGTAACCGCTTGCGCTTAACACTTCTGCCTTTCCTGCCGTCCCTCGAAAAAACAGTTTTAATATATTTTTAATAACTCATGGTGGGCCAGCACCCAATTTAATTAGAAAGTTGAACTTTCGCCGCGTCAATGCGCCAGATGGATTCCCAATTTGAATTTCGAACTTCTCAAGGAGAACTTGCATTCGCATCTATTTTTCGAAAATATATTGGTCATAAGAAACTTAATTCCAGAAAGTGAATTGAAGTTAAAATATTCTCCTCAAAAGTGCAGCATTAAAAAAAGATTTACATCGGTTCTTGTTTTTCTTTCGAGTTTTATACACTTTTTTTTTAAGATTTACTTAATTATCATTTATTTTCAACCAGAAACAAAAGCAATTCCCGTAATTCTAGGAAATTAAGAGATTTTCCAGCTTTTATAACCTTAAAGAAGTGCCCATTTGTGTCGAATAAAAGTATTTTGATTTGGATCTCTCGTTCTGTGTTTGCTCTTCTCGTTCGATTGCATTTCTGTGTTGTGGGTTGGTATTTTCCCATTTTTGTTTGTTCGCTAGCCAACAAAAAAACAGAAAAATACAGAAAAAGAGTTTGCCAAAATAACATTTATCAATGTCGTCTGTGCTCCCTACTTTTCCCCTCACTATATATCTGGGATTTGTCTCTAGCAACGAATTGAAGTGCATCAAATAAGTTGTGTGTGCATGCGAGTTGGAAATTTGTTTGCCCAATGTATGCTAAAAGTGTCTGCGGGGAAAATTGGGTAGAGTTTTCCCCTATCTCTCTGTCTCCCTCTCTCTGTCTAAGTATTTTATCAATAATTCAAAGTTGCTTCGAAAAACTTTTCAGGCATTTTTGGCCGCATTTAGATAGAGATTTTGCCTGTGCATCCTAGGAAATTCACAGGAAATCCGAAAAATTAGCTGCACTCGAAACAGGAGCAGCGATTTTCCTGAGCTACCCAATTTTCCGGCTTGATTAGCGCTCGGCTTGGGAAACTTTCGCCAAAATTTTACACGGCTCGTTGTGTCTGTGTCTGTGTGTTTTCACTCTGTGTCGCGGCAATTTGTTCGCTGTCACTTTGCACGCGGCTGCGACATAAATTTCCCTTTTGCCGACCCAATTTTCAGAGGCTGCTACTCTGCCACTGCTACTGCTGCTGCACAACCGAAAAGCGAAGCGTTGTCAAAACTTTGCAGTTGGCTTTTATTTACATGGCGGGGTTTCGGGGTAACTAACCAAAAAATACAAAAAAAAATAACAAAACAAAAATAGACCATAAATAAAAACCACAAGCAGCACCAGAAGCAAAAGCAAAAGCAGCGGCAGCACACAGAAAATAATGGAAAAAGTTAGTTTTGCATAACGCGCAGATCCCGAGCACACTTGAAAGTCGGGGCGATGCGGGTGCTTGATGGTCAGGGAAGGGTTTAAGTGGGCGACGGGGCGCTTGGGCGACTGGGCGTGTGTGAACTGCAAGTTGGGCAAGAACAACAGCTGCTGTGGTCTCCTACAACCCCTCCGACCAACAGACAAAAGGGCTGCACAGGAAAAATCCGGAAAAAGTAAGGAAAATTGGTCATCAAACTCCTATCTGTACAATTATTTAGATTTCTATCCGGCTCGAAGGACCCAATACAAAGTTTATTGCTGTTTAGATGCTGCGAAATTGATGTTTAGTTCTACTACTATTAAATTAATCGAAAGGGTTTCGAAATCACTTATAAAGAGGCTTACAAAAATATGCAATTAAAAAATGTAAAATAACAGCAAATTTTAGCATACATTTTAACACATGTTTAAGCGATTCCTGATTATATTCAATAAATTTAAAGACTCGATAAGCAATTGTTACTTTTTTAAGGCTCTTTCAATCAATTTAAATCAGGAACTTAGCTATTATACTTTCGATTTTTCCTCAGTGCACAAGTAAAAAGGACTAACGAAGGATGAGGGTGAGAGTATAACCACATAC